GGGGGCGCCCACAGCTGGGGTGCAGGGAGGGGGCCATGTCTTGTTGCTCGCTCTGCCTCTCAGCCTGGCTTCTTCCCCGACCAGTCACCAGCACTGGGGCTCTGTCATGCTGGGTGCTGGCCAAGCCCAAGGTCACCAGAATTAGAGCCTTGTCACTGCCCCGGGCCAGCACCCCCCAGCCTGGGCATGGGCTGCCTGTGGGTAACTTTCCTTCAGTCCCACCCTGTGATTTGTTCCTCCTCTCCCAGTCCCTGTCCCGCCTCCACCCCTCCTCTGCCCAGCCCCCCCACCTCTCTCCTACCGCTCCCACTGACCCACCGACCGCCTGCTTGGAGTGGTGCCGCCTGCCTCTGGGACAGAAGGATTTTAGGAACTCCAGGTCCTAAACCTTTGGGGGTGCTGCTCACATTTCCCCCACTGCCCCCCTGTCCTGGCAAGGGGGGGGGAGGTCTGACCTGCCTTTGGGGTACCACACAGCGCCAGGCTCGTCACTCCAGCAGGAGTGTGGGGGTGTCTGGACGTGGTCTGGGGAAGTCCCCTGCAGCACGGTGAGTCTGAGCGCCCCGGGTTAGCGCAGATGCGCAGCATGCTCACGTAGTTCCCAGGATTTCCCCATCTGGGCTTGCTGGGGACACCGATCCCCAGGTGCCCAGTTCCCATGTGGGGCTTTTCTTATCCAGGTTAAGGAATAGAACTCGGGTGTCATGTGTCCCAGACCCCTGCTCTAATCCACCCAACCCCACTGCCTTCCCAGAGTGAGGAGAGAAACCAGGGGTCCTGGCTCTCATCGGATGCTCACTGACCCAGCTCCCCTCCCAGTGTTGAGGAGAGGCGATGAGGGATTTGCTGTCAAGGGCTGCTCCAGCGGCACCCAATCTGGTTGTGGGGGCCTATAGGGCATTTAATCTCATATGCATCTGAGTTGGGGGGTATCCCCTTCCCCCTGTCCTCCTTCCCCTAGTGCCTGGAATTGTTTGGGGGTCCCATTTGTGATGGGGGATTCCTGCCTGTTTCAAGGGGCAGTGTGGGGGCAAATCTCCATGGGACCCTGCCTAGTGCCCCCTGAATCCTTCCTTTTCCCTGGGTACCACCTTGGCATTCCAGCCTGGACAGTTGGGTCCCAGATGTGCCCAGGGGGTGGTGGCCCTGTACAGAGCTATGCTGAGAGGCACAGATGGGTGGCCTGGTGGGGTGCCCGGGGGTCCAGGGCCCTGCAAGGGCAAGAGCTTGAAGGGACACATGAGACAAAAGAGACTGCAACAGGGAGGGGAGGGAGGGCAGACAGACGGATGGATGGACACAAAAGAAAGGAGAGGACTATGCTGGTGGGCACTCAGCATTGGGCCCAGCCATGCAGCAGCCTCTGGGGTGAGAGCCTCCCTGTTGTTATATTATTAATGGTAATGTAAGAGCCTGAGCGCCATCCACGTCTCTCAGCAGAAGGGCCCTGGCCGGCTCCCAGTATAGAATAACCAGTTGCATTGGCCACCCTGAGTGTCCCAGGCACTAAGCCATCTGTGCCAGTGGGACCCTTAATAATAATAATAATAATAATGATGATGATGATCTTAAACTATCCTCCTTATAGGAACCATGTCATCAACCCTGCTCATCAGGCCATCTTTAACAATAATGTCCTCGTCAGAACTGCAAGAAACACATTCATCCCATTATTTGTAGTGATAGCCTTTGGGTTCACTTTAATATTCCTAATAATAATAATATTCTAGAACTCAATCATATCCACAGTGGTAATGCTTTTAATCTTACTATCATACCTATAATAAAATTGTTCTTAAGGATAATAGTCTTGATCTTATTTTACTATATGCGACTTATTTTAACAAGCATATCCTCAATAATATTCTTGCCATCATTAGTAATATTAATAATAATAATAATAATAATAATACTGATTTTGAGTAATAACCACAAAGATTACAACTAGAATATAAAAGAAAATGAGGAATAAAGAAGGCTTCTAATAATAACGCATTTAGATCCAGAAACTGGCAGCCAAGTACTGAAATAATGGCAAATAATAACAACAGTAATTATGATGATAATGACAACAGTGATGATGTGGGACCCACTCACCACCAGTCCCAGGAGGGACAGGGCTAGTGTCCATACACGGAAGGGCAAGGAAAGAATGAAAAAAAGGACAGAGGGGTGATGGAGGGGAGAGCAAGGGAGTGGGTCGGGGAAGAAGCTACTGGCAATGGAGAGCTGGGAGTAAAGGCGGAGGGGAGGAGGAAGAACAGGAATGCAGGGGGTGAGGAGGAAGAAGGGGTGCAGAAGTGAGGAGGGAGCACAGGGGTGTGTGGAAGGCATTCAGGGGGTGGTGAGGGAGTAACCTAGGGAAGCCAGAGTGGTTGCCTAAGAGCAGCAGCCTGGAAAGGAGGAGGAAGAAAGGAGTGAAAGAGAATGGGTGTTAAACAGGGTAGATGGACAGATGGAGGGGAAGGCAGGTGATAGATGTGTGCCTCTCCCATGCTCTCCCAAGAATATGGGGTGCTTTGATTTTATGTAAGCCAGGGGGGTCAGGGGCTTTGCCTCCTCTGCCAGCTGAGATCTCTGCCCACCAGGGGATTCTGGCACCCAGCCTGCACCTCAGCCAGTTCAGAGATCAACATCTCCCATGCCCTGAGCCCTGTGAATCCCGCTTCCTTTCTCCCTAATGGGTGAGGACTGGGAGCCAGGCCACCTAGGTTCTACCCCAGCTCAGAGAGGGGAATGGGGTTTGGTGGGAGAGATCTAGGGGAGCTGGAAGCCAGGACCCTGGGTTATTTCCCTGCTCCGGGAGCAGCGTTTGGTCTGGCAGGTTCGAGCAGAGCCCCAATGCTTGTTTTCTTCTACATAGTGCAGGAGAGTCAGACCTGCTGTTAAGAATCCCAGTGGAGGCGTGTCTGGATTTGTGCTAGGTTGAATGTGAGGAATAATTATGCTATAGCGCAGTGCCCTGTGCTGCGCTTTTTCACCTCGCAATTCTACTGAATGCTAAATACTGAGGAATAACTGTAATTCCCAGCCTGCCTTTACAGTTTGGAACAAGCTGAGTGTGGCCGACGTAGAATGTATTTGAATTGATAAAGAATATGCAACAGTCTGTGACCTGATTGTACCAAAAATAAGAAATGGATTGAAATGATAATTTGAAACGAATAGTCTAGAATTTTGATAGCAATGAAATTATGTAATAGATTTGTGAATGATTGCCAATGGACTGTTAATACAATTCGTTATTGATAGTATAAATTATTATTAGCAATAATAATGATAATTTCTCCTAGCTTTGTTAACAATAAGACACCATCAATAAGCAGAAAACCTTGGATTATTTATAATAGTCTATTATGATTAATATTAGTATGAGAATATTAGTATGTAACAATTTATGCTGGGAATAAATCACCACTTTAACTGTTACTAACAATACTTTCTAAGGGCTGGTAACAGTATTAAAAAGCAGTGATAATTTCACAGTAAACCAAATATGATATTATTATTCTTGTTATTTGGATAAAATAACAGATGTTAAGTAATGTCAGAAATACACAAGTGCCTTGAATTGTTCATAATAATTCCTAAAAAATAAATAGTCAAGGCTGATATAGTTATAAATTGCTGGTTAATATTTTTAGTGGTAAACGAAAAGTTAATATTTTCATAGTTAATATCAACTAATGGCCTCTTGAGGATAATAGGGAAAATAATCATTAGAAAACAGTGACATTCACATTAATATTAAATAATAATGCAGATATGTTGGACATTATTAAGTGATGGGTTATCATTGTTCATAATAGGAAATAGAAGATGATTGGTAGTAAAAATGTAAATGAAGACTTTGGAATGATCAATAATAATTGGAATATACAATAACTGTAATAACAGCAAAAATAATGTCATATTACCGAAATGCACAACATCTTAACAACATCAGCAAATATATTAATACATTTAACTTGGAATTATTATTAAATTGTTTATAATTAAATGTGTAATTAAAATATTGTTGCATTATAATAGCATAACGTCAAAATAATGTTTGCAGTAAATTAACCTGAAGTTAATTATCCAATAGATCATTGTATGAGGACTGAGGGTGATATTAATAAAGAGTAACTGCATTTCTGAAACTATTGTAATTAATAGTAT